ATCTATCTATCTATCTATCTATCAATCTATCCATCCCTCTATCCATCCATCCATCCCTCTATCAATCTATCTATCCATCCCTCTATCTATCTATCAATCTATCCATCCCTCTATTCATCCATCCATCCCTCTATCAATCTATCTATCTATCTATCCATCCCTCTATCAATCTATCCATCCATCTATCATATCTATCATTCTATCAATCTATCTATCTATCCATCAATCTATCCATCCCTCTATCAATCTATCCATCCATCTATCTATCTATCTATCTATCTATCTATCTATCCATCCATCCATCCATCCCTCTATCAATCTATCCATCCCTCTATCAATCAATCTATCTATCCATCCCTCTATCCATCTATCTATCTATCTATCTATCTATCTATCAATCTATCCATCCCTCTATCTATCTATCTATCTATCTATCTATCTATCTATCTATCTATCTATCTATCTATCCATCCATCTATCCATCTATCTATCCATCTATCCATCTGTCTATCTATCTATCCATCCATCCCTCTATCAATCTATCTATCAATCTATCAATCAATCTATCTATCTATCCATCCCTCTATCTATCTATCCATCCATCCATCCATCCATCCATCCCTCTATCTATCCATCCATCCATCCATCCATCCATCCATCTGTGAAGAAGGGGTGGGATGGCAGAATGTGTGAAACAGAAGAAATGATGCAATCTGGTAACAAATTTGAGAGAAATGTTTATTATGAATATGGCACCTGTCAGATGTTGAAAACCGGGTTACAGAAAGACAACCATGTGTGACCGGTTCCTCTGAACGGACGAGAACCGAGGAAACTCATAAAAGAACAACCGCTAAATGAAGTATGTACATTTTCGGATTTGCAGCATTATTCATGGTAAATGAACTCAAAGAGATGTCTTCCGAAAAGAACAATAATAATAATAATAATAATAATAATCATAAAATAAGCCAGGCACTCAAAGTTAGCATCAGTTAGTCATGTGTTCTCCCTCTTCTGCGAGGAAAAAACTAAAACAAAAAATAGAAATGTACCATAGTTTTCTCTTTTTTAATATTTTAATTTGTTTGTATTTAGAATTTTATAACACTGTTAACATTGATAATAAGAGATTCCCTCTCTCCCGTATTTCAGCTACTTGGCACCAAGTTCCTCATAAAAGAATCTGTATAATTGTACAAGAAATAGTTAAAAACACAGACACAGTTTCTTCACAGGTAAATGAAGTGATTTTTCAATAGTTGTATTTCTTAAACACTATGTATTCTCGACAGCAGCTGTGATTAAGGTTGTTAAGTTTTTAAAATCACCAGCAAAGTTTTCATTTTTCGACATAAAACACAGAAAAACATTGAAACAGCTTGGACCGGCTGTTTGGTTTTTGTTACATGTGGGTGTATTTCCTGGTTTCATCTGAGTTATGTGCCCCGCCCCCTTCAAAATCTCCTTTTCTCGACCAAATGGGGCCCTGCCATTCGTTTTGTCCCGCCCCCTCCCCCCGCCTTTTCACGCAAAAACCACCAAAAGTAGAAAATGCTAAAATCCAGAGGAGCACGGAAACAAAACGCTCCCGAAATAACAAATTTTAACATTCAACCACAAGCGACCCACCAATCAACTGACGGATCGAGCGGCCCTGATCACATTCTTCTCATTGAACACAAAAATAAATAAATACATTGTTTGATTTCATAACCTGGGTTTGTTTTCTTGTCGTCGTTTCACAAGTTAATCGCAGTAACAAGACATTGATTCTTCACAGAAAGCACAGACGCGACAGATTGTTTTTCCTGATGTGAAGGGGAGGATCAGAGACATGTGTCCTCCACTGCGTCCCGACTGGGCTCAACAGACTTCGAAACAAAAAACACAGAAACTAAGTGAACGAAACAAAAACGAGGGCTCAATCACGTGAAACACATCGGACGAACTTACTAAACATGCAGTTCAGTTTTCCAAAACACCTATAAAAATAGATTTATAGTGCGAAATATTTTTTTCTTCTTTTAATTTCTTTAGAAATCTTTAAAATTGTTTTTTTTTTATTATTATTATTTGTCCTGAAATTCTACTGTGATTTTTTTTTTCTTCCCCTTGAACCACTTGTTTAACTTTGTTTGTCCCGTGAGAGAAGTTTGCGCAGGAAGTCAACAAGTTTTCGGTGGGAACCAATGAAATACACCCAATGCACACAGGAAGCCCCAAGGGACTCTGGGAAATGTTTCACAACTGAGGCTTTTGTGGTTGTTCCAGGACTACATCTACGATGCTACTTTAGGCTTTTCCTCATCATAATTTATATTAATATAGTGTAAATATTCATTAGTTCTTTAATACTTTGTATGCAAGAGCTGGAAACTGCGATTCCCAGAATTCCTTAGTGGCGAAAACATGGCTCCATAAACCTTGAGCTAGTTAAAGAATCTTTTCATCTCTGAGAGAAAAGAGCGAGATAAAGAGGTTTGTATAAGACTACACAACAGCAAAAAGCAACAGCAGAGGGAAAGAGAGAGAAGGATCAGAAAACAACAGAAGAAAACCAGATTTTACAAAGACAGAAAGGAAGCAGCGAAAAAAAGGTGGACTCTACAAGTTTTTTTTCATTTTTTGCAAAGGCCACCGAACACGAAATTCCACGAACCTCCACTGGTTTCACTAAGACTGCAGATAGAGGGAGACGGAGGAAGAGGCAGGAAAAGAAAGAGAGAGAAGGTTGTCCTTTTTTGGGGGGGATGTCCGTCATCCCGTAGACCCCGCCCCTCTCACTCTAAGCCCCACCCCTCTCCCCCCTCCCCGACACTAGAGATAGAGCACAGAGAAGACAAAGGACAAAAACAGCTACAGTAGCTCAGTATATACTGCATATAGTCAACACACACAGAGAGAGAAGTCGCCATGAACGACCTTTGACAGCCAGTGACACTAAACACATCGGTAACACGTTTTTACGGCGTAATCACACTGGGTAATAAGGATGACGGGATGTAAAGACGGGGCTGCCAACTTTAAAAACATGGATGTCAGGACAGTTTTTATACCGTTTTATTAATTATTACTTATTCTCATATTTTTTTTCCTCTTTTTACCAAAAGAAAAAGAAAATTACAAATGAATGAGAATCACAGTGCTTTTAAAACACTTAGCGTGAGGTTTCTTTTTTTTTGGCAAAGGAGGCCGGGGAAGAAAAAAACTGAAAACCGACAAAGACAACGTCGTTTAAAGGAATGTGGTTCTTTTTTCTATTCCTCAAAGAAATGTTTATTATTTTTTTGTAGTTATTGGATTGATTGTTTGCTAGATTGATTGAAAATGAACGTCTTTATTACAATCTCCTTGTTGATATGTGGTTTTTAATCACAGGGTCCGGCGATGAGATGGAAGAGAGTGGATTGTTTCGGAAAATCTTGTGGAGGTGATTCTGGTTTAGGAAGAAGAAGAAGAAGAGGAGGAGGAGGAGGAGGAGGAAAAAATAAGAAAATGCTTGAAATAGTACAAAAATAATACAAAGCAGTTATCAAACAGGAGCCGGTCGAGGATTTCAACATTCATTTTTCAAGTTAGCAACGCTAAATATTTAGCTTCAGTCTCATGAGAAGATAAAAGTGATTTACTTAGAAAACACACGCAAAAAAAAAACCTCTATGTAGCCTAAAATTCAACCAATCAACTCCATGTTGCTAAATGGCGCCGCCCCTCACGGCCCAAATAACATTGAGCTTTTGTTTAGACAAAGGCGGAACATATGACGTGGAACATGGAGACCATGTTGCTGATTTCGATGTTCTTGCTGCATTTCTGACTTTCCTGATGGTCAGAAGAGGAAAACAAAAGAAACTTCAAAATAGTTCCCCCTCCAAAAACAGAAAACGAGGATCTGTCTGTCAACAAGCCGTGGGTTCGTTAACAAGCACCCACATCAGCCAGCTGAATCAGGGTTACTGGATGGTCCGTAGCACCGTGAGTCTGGACATCGAAAGGTAGAAATGTAGAGCAAAAGAATAAAGATCAGATAGTGACAGATTCGAGCGACAACGACAGATTGAGATAGGAAGAGATGAAAAGGAGGTTATGTTTGGTGCGAGACCTGTTGGTAAACTCCTGGGATAAAAGAGGAATTAGTAACATTCGATATTTCACAGGTCATTACCCGGTGGAAATTGCTTTTTTTGTTTTCTTCTTAATGCTTGATTCGTAAGTTAAATCTGAGCTAGAATATTTTATAAAAAAAGGAAGAAATGAAAGCAACTCTAAACTATTCCCTCAATCGAGAAACGTCCTCAAAAACCTTTTTTCAAAAGATTATTATTTCTGAGACCTTTGTTGGAGAGAGAGCCCCCCCCTCTCGGTCTGTACAAGCCTTGATCACATCAAGATACATATGGAGGAGCGCCACACAGAGTTTCCTGTCCATTACGAATCCCTGTGCCGTCCTCCTTTAAATACACACAATCAGCACCTTGATAAAGATGCAACAGAATCAAGTCAAATAATAAAAATTATCCCCGTCAGGCTCCAGCGGAGTCCTTCGGCAATATGAATTCTCTGTAGGCAAAAAAGGAATTCTTTACAATAAAGAATAGTCTGTTTTTTGTTCATTTGTTCGGGAGAAAAGTGTTGCTGATTGCAAGAAACAGAGCAAAGAGAGAGACAGAGAGAGGAGGAGAAGAGGAGAGAGAAATAAGATAGAAAAAGGGGGTGATATCTGTGGGTCATTCATGTCTATTACACAAGCTCAGTTGCTCAGATTCAAAGTGCTAGAGTACATTTGTCATCCTTTCCTGTCCTTCCTCCCCTCTCGGAAACACAGTGCTGCACCGTGTTGATAAAGGATAGCAAGTAAATAGTCTTTTTTTTTTTACTAGTGAGTAGTCTTTTACTTTGACACAGTTGTTGATTCCGGAAACACAGTAATGCGGTCTTGAACGTTTTGCATTAATCCTCCTTCCTCTCCAGAGTTGTCTGTGTGGTGTGGATCCCATTACTGTACACTGGGAACGGTAGCGTTGAGAAAAGTCCCTCTGCCGTTGTGAAAACGTTGGCTGCCGTTGGCATCTGGCCTCCCAGGGCGCCGTTCCCGCCCGTTGCCGACGGAGATCCAACAAACGGGCCGGCGGCTGCTGCTGCCGACATATTGAGCCTGTGGACATGGTGGTAGAGCATCTCCATGGGTGTCTTAGGGTCAAGGCCGAACCCCGAGCTGTCTACAAAGTTCATAGCAGCATTGGGAAGGAGGTTCCCTTGTGCCATAGCCAGGGTGACGTCCGCTGGTGCGTACCTGATAGTCCCAGTGGTGTAAACCCGTGGAGCCGTCGTGCTGGTTGGGGCCAGTGTCCCTGTGACCCTGTGGACCAGCGGGAGCACAACATTACCAGCCTGCAGACGCTGTAGAGCCTCGAGGTCACCAGAATACAGCAGTGAAGAGGAAGAGGTTGATGAGGAAGAGGAGGAGGATGAAGATGAGGAAGAAGAAGAAGAGGAGGTGGTGGGAGTGCCTTGTTGCTTGTCCCGTGGGGAGGCGGAGAGAGGGGGTGACAACGGGTCCGCAGAGGAGGCGCTGGATGGAGGTGCTAAACTTGCAGCACTTGAAGCAGAGGACGGAGCAGAGCTTCCGTTATAAGGAGGCTTCCTCACTCCTCCAGCTCCTCCTTCAGTTCCAGGAGGGGTGAGGACAGAGTCAGGGATGGACACCTGGAGAGACCCTCCCTGGGGTGAGGGGAAGGTCTCATGGGATCCTTGACCAGCCGGTTTTGAAGTCATGCTGTACGGAGACTCATTTCTGGAAATCTCTCTGTTGGGTGGGTAGTTCCAGATGCTGCTGTCGTTGTCAAAGTTGATGGGTTCTGCCATCTCAGTCTTGATTTTCAGGACAGAGGACGTCCCCCCTGCACTGTTTGGGGAGCCGGAGGAGCTGAGGAGGTGGGAGGAGGCAGTGGACGTGGCCTGGGAGGGGTCAGCCAGCGGTGTGGTATCTCCCATGGCAACAGGGCTGGGCGAAGGTGAGGACAGACGGATTCTCTTACTTTGTGATCCGTCCCATTTCTGCACTTTCCTCCTCTTCCGCCGCTTTTGGAGCTTGCTTCCATCATTGGCGCCGTCGCAGTCTTGCATGATTCCATCTTCGTCCTCATCATCCTCCTCATCCTCCTCATCTTCCTCCTCCTCAGAAGAAGTTTGCGAGTTGTGCAGATGCAGTTCTTCCCCCTCTCCATAGTGCTCTACTTTGATATGAAGTCCACCCAGATTACCAAGTCCTCCGATTGCGCCCAGTCCCCCTAGACCTCCCAGTCCTGTTAACCTTGCCAGCCTTCCTCCACCTCCTCCCCCGCCTCCTCCTGCCACCCTGGCCTCCTCCTGCTCCTCTCCTTCTCCATCTGAAGGTTCCAGACTGTCATCGCTGTCTTGGCTCTCAGGGTTACTGGAACTGTCTCCTTCTTCCTGACGTTTCATTTCCTGTTCAGAGGAGCAATGTGATTGGCCGGGTTGCTGTTGACGCTTGCTGTCGGTCTCTGGGTCCTCACTGCGTTCAGATTGGTGGCCCAGCTTCCCCTCAGACTTGGTGTTCTCATTGTCTAATGAGAAGAAAGAGGTGAATTAGTTAAAAAGGCAGCAAAAGACAAGTTGCCAAGATCATTCTGAGACAACTCTGATATTTTTGGACGTGAAGAACCACTTCTATAAGAAGATTAACTCTTTCATTCATAAGTTATTCAGTCATTTATTTATTGACAACAGCAGTGTGGAGTTTGTGGACTGCTACCGGCACGTTAACACGCACAGAAATGATTTGGCTTTAGGAGGAGCAAAGACTGTTGTCAGGTCGGTAGCAGACTGAGCTATCTTGGATATTTGATGGTTTTTTGATCACATGCTTGGCCCCAAGAGGTTGAATTTTAAATACCATTATTATTTACCTTCCATCTTTTCATTTATTTTGTCTGACTGTCACCAGAATTACTCAAAAACTGCTAAACTGATTTCCATGAAATGTTGTGGGAGGTGGGACGTAACCCAAGGATTAAATGTTTGAGTGGATCTGGATAAATGGGCTGATTTAGATTTCTGATGGCAAGATGGTATCAGCATTTATCTGAGCACTTCAGGGTCTGTCCTGCTTACATTTTGTGACTATTTGTTATTTCTTACCTTCAGGTATATATTTTTCCATTTGGGTCGGATAGAAGAAAGGTCAGTATGTCCTCTGGGGAACATGCATATCTTAAGTAAATGTTATATTAATAGTTGTGGAGATTTCTGTTGGGTCAACTGGTCAACAAATAATGCCAAGTTCAGAGCTGTGCATATTGCAAAAAGAAAAACACATTTGTTGCATGGAAACAAAGCTAGGAGGCGGTTTTCTTGAAGGATTTCTTCACCTGACTGACGTGTTTGTGAATCTCCGCTGCTGATCCTGTTTTTCTCTACAGGATTTCCATGTGTTGTGTTGTTGACCCACTGATGTGGGTTCGGTAGCTGCTGCTGTTCAGGCACCATGGCTCTGTCCAGGCCATTGCACACACACAACAAACACACACACTTTAAACCCTGCCAGCGCACACCGAGGCCATTGGCTGTCCAGCTGGCAGCGCTCTGACTCCCTCATGGCAAACGAAATGTCACCTCAATTGCTTGGGAAAACCTTGTATCTCCATTAAGTCTGATTTCCAAGCAAAACAAATATATTGTTCCAGGTTTTTCAGGGTTTTTGGTTTGGATTATTGACAACATTGATCATTTTTTGGAACTTGACCTGAACTCAAAGTCAGGATATCTTGATATAGATATTGATAAAGGTAGGAAATCGACATTACATTTTTTACCCACATTCATATATTCTACCCCGGTGCAATTAAAGCCAAGTTCACACCACACTCTCACAGGAGCTTTTCTGTTTCGTGAAGTCTTGCAGTCGTTGTGAATTAATACTATACAATCGTCTGACACCAGAGGTTCTCACGCTACACATCGCCCGGTATGTCTGGTCACTGTCCTGCACTTTAATTGGCTGTAGTTGTCGCAGATTTCCATATTTAGCTAGAAATAATCAAGTGTATTTGTTGACTATTTTCAGCAGCAACCACATTTGATCTTCTTCTGAGAATTTTGATGATAAATCTGTCCGACGTTTTTTAACGTCGGACATATCACCGGCATCCTAACCCTTTTATTTGTATGAATCACAACACACATTATCTCAAGGCACTTTACATAGTTAGGTCGAGACCATGTTATATTATAGAGAACCAACAGTTCCCAGAATGAGCAAACACTTGGCGACAGTGCTTGCTCAGAACCAAGGTCGAAGGGCAAATATCTCATTTTAGAATATGTTGAGCCTGAGTACCTCAGGCCTGTTGGAGCCCGGCTGAAGCTGGCGTCCTCCTGCAGCAGCTGGCATCAGTTTACAGCCGACCGCGTGCCAGAGTCCTTCTCCTCCAGCAAGAATAACAGCTGGCAACGATTCTCATCATGCCAACACAGGCTGCAGGACTTGATAATATTATGCTCAAGGTGGAGGCCCTGTGTTGGTGTCAGTTTAACTAGAATGGAGTCGTGTCTCCTGTATTGTCTGTTTGAGGTGAACAGTCCCAAAAAACTAAACTTCAAAATTCAATTTGGTGTCAGAGCTTGTTTTGCTGCATAAGAATCCAGGACTCAGTTAATGATGAATGAATAATCAAAGATTTGTTTCATTTTGACATTAATCTTTTATGGCGTCGAGGTTTCGGTAAGCACAGACTCAGGTCACGTAAAGTATCGACCGTTGCTTTATCCTGACGCTGAATATTACAAAAGTAGCTTCTCAGTTTTACTTTACTTTCTCACAACTGTCGCTGGTCAAGCTAACTAGCTAGCTAACATTAGCTCTGTGTCATGAGCTGAATAAAACAAGAACCTTGTAAAACAGCTGTGAACGTTATCATATTTAAAGGCTAAAGGCTAAAGGCTAATCACCAGGTGATGATCTGGTGTGAAAATAACTGGACGACCTTGCTGGTGTTTTAGCCCTCGTGTCATTGGACTGTACGATCAGGACATTTCAAATTGTATGTTTAACTTTTAACGTTATCGAAAGACGAGGTTCTGCGAACTACTGAGCTTAATTGTTAATTATTGTAAAATTCTCAAATCTAATAAAGAGCTAATGTTAGCCTTCTGACACCAGTGGATGTCTCAGCAAGGTGTGCTAAGACTTGTAGCGTCGTCTGTTGAGCAGCTCCGGTTCTTTTTCTTTTGTGAATCTTGTGTTGTGTTTGTTGGGGGGGGGGCTGTTGTGTGAAGTGTGGAGGTATTTTGTGGAATTCTGTGGAGTTGTGTTGTTTTATGTCACTTTGTGGTGGTTCGCCGAGCTGCCAGTGAGTCCTCAGTCCCTGCAGCTGTTGCCGTTCATCACCACCCTCCCTGGCACAGACGGCACCACTGGCACCGACTGATTAAATATCTTTGGCTTCTCTTGCTCAGGCGTTATCTCTGATTATTCGAACACTTGGACGAGGAAGAGGTGCTTGTAAGAATTCCTTCAGGTTTTGTGAACATCTGAGTGTTTTGAGTAAGAGTGACTCATTTAATATTTTTATTATATTAAAACAACAATATCAAATAAAACTGTGAAGCTTATAAACCTTAATTCAAACGTCTGATGCAATCTTAGGCTGTCCATGATTCTAAAGCCGTTTTCAGACATGAACTCCGGAGAGCAGCCGCACAATTGGACTTTCTCTGGAGTTTCTCTGTTGTAAGTATTAATTCTGCTGTGGAGGTCACGTGTTTGTTAAACTTGGAGTTCAGTGTGTGAGCAGCTTTGTCTTCTTTCTCACCTGAGTTTTCTTTGGACTCGGACTCAGAGTCGGAGGTTTCGGAGGATTCAGAGGTTTTCTCGGGCAGGTTTGGCAGCTGTGCAATATCCATGGGCGTGTCTTTATACTCTGGGTTACTGTGAAGTAGCACAGAAACATTCCTGTCGGTTAATTGTGTGTTACTT